GAATCGGCCGGAATCAACGAATAACGACTACGAAGGCTTAAAATCCGACGAACCTTTGAGCGCTCCTCCACGACAAACGGTGTCATATTACAAAAAAACCAACAGTAGTTTGATTGGGCATCGACACCGGTGATGATGACAGTGACGGTGACGATCATCGCTGGTCGTCCGACGAGTTTTGGAAGGGGAAAGGGGGAGGGGAGATGCACGGGGTTCTGTTTGAAAATAATAAATTTAAGAGGTGGAATTTTCTTAATTTTAAATAAAATTTTGAAAACAACGTAATTTTTTCTTATTGATTCTTACATTATTACTAGATAAATTAAGTTGTATGTTTCTTGTTATGTCTCAAATGATCATCTATCTCGTAAATACTAAACACCATCAAATCATCCACAAGCGCTTTTCAAAAGTTGAAAAAAAATAAAAAATATTTTAAAAGTTGAGATAAGAATAAAATATTTTTCTAAATAAGAATAAAATATATTTAATAAGTTGAATAAAAAAATAAAATATATATATTTTAAACTTAGAATATGAGTTTAAATTAAGATATATAAAATATTGTAAATTTAAATTAAATTTTAAAACCCGTATACAACATATATAGTATATGTTGTAAAGCGTCAACCGTTCAGTGGTCTTGCCTTGGCGGTTCCTTCCTTGCTTTACAACATAGCACCCCTGGTTTGATTCCCTCCAATGCAAACTTCCTTTAATTTGTTTTCTTATAATTATAGGGTGACACGTGTCATCCTATGATTGGATGAAAACAAAATTTAATGAATTAAATAAATTATAGATAAATTGAACCATCCAATTAGAGATTAACAAGTGTTGCATTTTAATAGAAGATTAAATCTATTGAATTTAATTAAAATTAGGATTAAATTCTTGCTTATTGAAGAATCAAAAGAATGACAAAAGTTGAAAGACTTTTTTTTTTCATATACGATGTATTCAAATTCTATTTTCCTTCCATTTTCCATTCTTTTCAATTACTAATAATACTTAACCATTACCTTTGACTTTTCTGGTGTTTCAAGAAAGACCAAATGTTATAACACATGATGCATTTCTTATCGACAATTGGTCAATTGATGCTGTAGCTCAAACGGTAGAGCGCTCGCCGAGAGGTTCATGGTTCGATCCCTTGCTTCTCCATCTTCGTTTTCCTTTTTTGGTTTCCTCCACACAGAACATGGCTGATGGCGCCACTAAAAACATCAGGTACTGATGGTTAAATATGCTTGAAGATTTTATTCACCAGCCGTTGATAAGTAGCTCCGATATCCTTCCACAAATCAATTTATGTTGCGGAGAAAAAAATGTTGACATACCGTACACCTTTAAATACTTACAGATTGTATGCCCTTTATCGACTGAGTTTGAACGTATCTAACTTCATTCTATATATCCATTGTATCGGTATATGCAATTCTGCGTTCATTCGAAACTTCTATTGGAGACCCTGAACTTGTACTTCCCTTCTTACCTCTAGAACAACGATAGCTACCGGAACCGGAGACCTGATCCGAGCCATTACATTTTATAGATCTCTCGATGTCATCTATACGAGCAACCAGCGGAATCGGCCGTTCAGGGATTGAGGGAACAGAAACGTCTGTTTCCAACATTTTCACAACCTGGTCCATAGATGGCCTGCATTGTAACTCTGGATGAGAACAAAGAACAGCTATCAACACATATTTCTCCAGAAATTCTGCCGGCCTCAACTCCGGCATGTGGGCTTCAATAACGTCCAAAGCTTTATCCTTCTTCACCAACGACCACGCCCAATCAGCCACAACAGTAGGGTGGTTCTCATCACTCACGGTCAGCGCTTTTTTTCCACTCAACAGCTCAAGAAGTGTTACACCAAAACTATACACATCGCTCCTATCAGTCAATTGGCCATACAGTGCATACTCAGGTGCAACATATCCCATTTTTCCAGCTACCCTGGTAGTCAAATGTGTCATCCCTTCCGGCGTAAACTTGGCAAGTCCAAAATCCGCGACCTTGGCCTCAAACATGTCGTCCAAAAGTATATTACTCGCTTTGATATCCCTATGAATGATTGCCGGTTGTGCCCCGTAATGCAAATAAGCCAGCCCCCTAGCTGTCCCTAACGCAATCTTCCGACGAATAGGCCAACTAAGTCTTGCTTTCTTCGGACCAAAGAGATGATCATTTAAACTCCCGTTCTTCATTAAATCACACACGATTATCCTCTGATGACCGTCTGATGGTGTCATAGCAGTACAATATCCTCTTAAAGCAACGAGATTCACATGCCTAACACTTGCGATAACCTCTACTTCGTGCTTGAAATCCGCATCCCCGACGGCGGAACAGTTCTTGAACCTCTTGAAAGCAACCGCAGAGCCATCAGATAAGTAGCCTCTGTAGTCTGTACACATTCCCGTAGCATCCCGTACCTATGATGTTATTTACGGAGAAATTCCTCGTAACTTCCTTAATCTCGTCCAAGGTAAACTTAACCAAATTAGTATTTTCAAGATTCTGAATTCGATCCCTCCTTTTCTTCTTTGAATCTCGATATTTTCTATAGAGAAACCAAAACCCAAGAATGAAAACAGCTAAACCAAACCCAACCCCGATTATTACACCTTTTTGCTTACCCTCACCATTGCTGCTATCACTTAACTCGATCGAGAATAAACAAATGGCCGTACCTTTAGTTGTTGGTCCAAAATGATTAGCAACAGCTGCTGCATAAATAAAAGGGTAGGCCGTGCAGTCGGACACGTTGGCAATCGAATCGTTCGACCTGTACAAAGCTTGTAAACTGGCCAAGCTTCTAGTACATGAAGCACAAGCGGGACCACCCAAGGACTGGTTACAGCTTAAAGCCACGTCGTTTAAGGTGATGGTCGGGACAGAAGCTTTGAATTCGGACCTTGTGGTTAAGTCCAAGCAGCCCTGGGAGATCCAAGCAGTTTGGAAACCGAATGAGGAACGGAGGTTGAAGTTTGGGAGGAGAGATTGATAAGATTGCCAACAGGAGTCGGAGGAGTTTAAGGGAGGAACGAATGAACCGATGCGTTTAAGGTATTCGGAGAGAACGAGGCGGATGCCCTGGAGGAGGAAGTTGCAGACTCCGGGGGTGTTGAATTGGGGCCTGTTGGAAAGGACGGGGCGGAGGATGGTGAAGTTCAAGGGACATGGTAAGGTGCCGTTTTGAGGAAAGCAAAATGGTAAGAAAGTTAAGATTACGAAGAAGAGAAGATAGGGAGAGGACATTTACGATGAAGTTTTGTGTCTGGGTATAAGCACAGCCTGAGAAACGTAAAACAAGTGGCGGAAAAAGACTCTCAGAGACAGCGGGGGAGCGGCCGAAAACAAAGCAGGCAAATTCGTGGAAGGCTGAGTGGTGTTTTAAATCTGTTCATTTGTCAATAAGACAATAACGTTGTGGGTGGATTGGTTCTCCACGTTTCGGGTCCAATTTGGATGCCTAAAGCTTTGTTTTCTCCTTTTATTTTTCACTTCTTAAAATCCAACTGGGTTGTCCTTTTAACTGTAACACACACAAATCTGTAGATAAAACATATTAATGCCAACTAATTTCAACCACTTGAGAGACATTTTTTTGCTGGATATTGGTGTTTTGGCATGGCCAAACATCATCTGACATCCTCATCCTGGTGAAAATGAAGTCTCCATGAGACCGTCACTTGGCTCACTCACCGAAAGTTCACGAGGAGGTAAGATAAGTTAATGCGATTGAATTTTAACCAATCAATTAATCCATGTACGCTTTCGTATCTAATATAATCTCATGATATCATGATATGATATATGATACCAACTACTTTAAAAGTTATTAAATTTAACAGTTAATATTGGATGAATTAATAAAATTTTAAAATATACATTTCAATTAGATTAATAGATTTAAAATTTATTTGATTTTTTCAATAATTTGATAACTTTTATCATTAATTGGTTAACTTGCAATTTATTGGAAGTTAAATTATTTTCTGCAGGGACAAATCTACTGAACTTCAAAATCAAAAGAACACGAGTGGTATCTTACCCCAAATATCACAATCATTAGAACAAAATAGGTGGGGGTAATAATGGAAACTAATGAGAAGTTCATATAAGCACAAACAAATATTTTAAGCCGAGCCAACAAAATAATTGGGGGTAGTAATGGAAGTTCATATAAAGCACAAACAAGTAATTTAAGCCAAGTCATCAAACGATTGATTAATCATAATAAAAAACAATTTGTGTCGGATGCTTACTCTTATTGGTTCAGTACAACAGATGGTGGCGTCACCTAGAAAATGATGAACCAATCTTTGTAGTTGAAAGTGGTTCATCTTTCATCAATCACCAAAAAGTGTATACTTGTCTTCCTTAAAATCTTTAATCATTGGAAATATGTAAGAAGTATGTAATAATGAATTTGAAAAGTTACATCTTTAACGAAATACTGGTTGACATGAGACTTCGGGTTCTAGGACAATCTTCTTTAACTAAACTCCTCCCTTCAAAGATAAATGTTAAGGAGTATGAAGAAGATACTCAAGTCCGATTGGTTGTGAGGTTAAATATGGAGATATTTGATATACTCAATTTACAAACTTATGAAGCAATTCAAAAGGCCATCAATGTTGAACAACATAAGAGCTAAATCTGGATGGGTCAAGGTATATCACAACTCTTCTTTCGAGTTTTCTATAAAAGCTACTTTGTTCAACGCCGTTGCTCGACTCAAGGCGGTGGTTCAGTTCAATACCATGACCCGAAACGCAGCTCGTTCAATGGCCAAGACAACGACTCTTTCTTGCGTTCATTTTCAAAGTCTTTCTTTACTTGTTCCATTTCCCCACCATCCAAACCTAAACCTACAATTTTTAACATTCAAACTTAAGCGCTCATTCAGATGACTTCATAACATATAAACTTCTTTTTTATATATAAAAGCACACAACCCAGAAATTAGCGTCTTCTTCTTCTACTTCGTCTTCTTTCGTCATTTTTCTGGACAAACAAACAAACCCTTCTTAAATCTCAAAGCTTTTCCAGGGGGGAAAAGGCCCAGAGTTAGTGACTCCCACATGGACAGGTTAGTGAAAGCAGATGTGAAAGAAGTCGAATTAGTGTTCATTAAAGGTCAAAAGAGCTCCACATCTTTCACTTTAACAAATCTTATGCACACCATGTCCGTTGCCGTTTCTTTATCCACGAAAACCCCATCTTTCTTCTCTTTCAACAAGCCTTTCACCATAATCCCTCCCCTTTCATCTTCATCCTACACCATCCTCTCCCAGCCGTCTGATCAACCTCCTTTGACCAACCCTCCCGATGCCATCACCGTCAAAACCACCATGGTTCCTCTGGGGAAAGTCAATCACGACGATATCTGCCACCGGTTCTCCAAGCCCGGACCCCACATATTCAAGGACGCTACTTTGCCGATCTCCTTTCTGGGTCCCCATGTGATCGAGCATCTCATTTCAAGCAATACCCAAATTTCAGATACGGATCTCTACTTGAACAGAGCAATCTCCGGGTGTTTCGGGAATCAAATCACGGCGTTGCTCCAATCCGCTGCCGTTTCAGGGAAAGCCGATCTGGTCCGTACGTTGATCGATCATGGTGGAGATGTGAATCATAAGGACTCTAATGGAAGGTCCTTGATCTCCTTAGCTGTTGAAGCTGGGAATCTTGATGTTCTCAATGTATTGATTTCCTCTGGTTGTGAAATTGATAACACGGTTGACCATGTTTTCCACTACGCAGCGGCAATAAACAGAGTAGATTTGATGGATGCTTTGTTTCGAGCTTATAAGAACTCGATTTCTATCGATTCGGTCGATTTTCACGCCAGAACTCCGATCCACATATCTTCAATCCACGGCTGCACCCAAGTGATTCGATTTTGTTTATCAGTAGGTGCCAGCCCTGAAGCTTTGGACGTCGACAAATGCACCCCTCTTCATTTAGCTGCCAATGGAGGTCATTTAGACGCCGTGGAATGCTTGTTAGAGGCATCAAATTACTCCAAATACGCATTAAACAAACAAGGGAAGACCGCCTTCACTCTCGCCGTCGAAAACGACCGATCGAATGTGTATGGTTCATTGCATTTAGGGGATGCTTTGAGCCGTGCGGCAAGGATTGGGGACGTGAATGGGATAAAGAGTTGCATAGACGAAGGGGCGAACGTGAATGGGAAGGACCAAAATGGGTGGACGCCTTTACATAGGGCGGCATTCAAAGGTAAATTGGAGAGTGTTCGGGCTTTGCTTGGCTACGGTGGTGAGGTTAACGTTGTCGATGATAACGGGTACACTCCGTTGCATTGTGCGGTGGAGGCAGGGCATGTTCAGGTTGCGTTGTTGTTGATCGGTCATGGAGCGAAAGCTAATTTGAAGAGTATGAAAGGTACGAGTATGGGAGTTGGTTCGAAGTCTGATTGTTGTAAGAATCATTGTTGTTATCGTGGTTGTATTGTTCAGCCTTTGTGTAACGAGGAGAAGGAACGGGCTTGATTGATGAATTTGCCTGTTAGTTGTGAAAATGTGCAGAGTCTGTAAAGTTGTATGATATGTGATTAGCCGACGGCATTACCTGCTTCAACTGAATTAAAGCTGTTACTTCAATAGGTAACACTAAGATTCGTTACTTCAATCTTACACGAATCAAATAATCTCAATGGTTACAAAAAATAATTATTATCTTTAAAGATTCTAAATTTAAGGACCGATAACTGTTAAAGTATTTGAGCGTTTATTATCAAATAATTAAAAGTTTATTTAAGCGTTTATTGTCAAATAATTAAAAGATTTTAGAACAAATAATAAACTTATAATCCTAAACATTACTTCAAACTTAAAATATAAATAAAATGATCGGGAAGGAATAAACTAATATAATATTAATATATAAGTTTTATGAACTAAAATTGTACTTATAACATACAACATCAGTATGTCACCATTCTTTTTAAGCGTGTACAAATTCTAATATCGGAACTTATTCGAAAATTTGGATATCCAATCCAATTCAAAAAACATATATTCGAACCAAATATAAATTTTAATTTGAGAAAAAAAATAATTTTATATTTTGTGATTTAATGTAACTTATTTGATATCTCTACTATTTTTTATAGACATCTAATTACGCACGTACAATAAATAACTAAATATATTAATTTTTATTGAGTTAGAACTTCAATAAGTTAGTGAACTACTTATTTATTAGGCTAAATTGTTGGAAGCGTTGATGGACACCGAGTATACTTTATAATTCAAACTCTTATTGATTCGAATAAAATACGATACAATAACGTTACCTCAACACTACGACACTAACTGCAACTAATTTATAAACTCAAACTCAAGCTTTACTAAGTTCTCCCAATCTTATTCTCGTTTTTCTTACTTCACTCACTTGCACATACACATATCTAAACCTAAGCTATAACACACATATTTATAAGGGTTTATAATCGACTCATTTGCTCCAACTCTTTTCGCCTTACAATTCTTCACGTGGTCATTATCCTCCTCGAAGCAACACTTTGCTTGCCTTGGTGAATTTACTTGTTGCAACAATTATTTTATGCATTGCCACGTTAAGTGCTTGTAATTTTAAGTTGCAAAATATGCTTATGCTGCTGCCACATGTTTCATCTTTCCATTGCCACATGTTGATTGGTCTTTAATTATATTATGGTTTACCGACCTTCAATATCTTCTCAAACACTCCTATTGCCAAGTGTTACCGACATCCATACTAAAATCAAGTTCGAATTCTAACACTCTTCAAACTTAATTTTTTTTCATCCCAAGCTTTTCTTTGAATCGATTGAATATATCTACTTTCAATGACTTCATAAAAATATCTACTAGTTGATCTTCAGTACTGCAGTAGACTAATTCTACATTTTTATTCTTCATTTAATCTCATATAAAATGATACTTTGTATCAATGTGATTGCTTCGACTATGAGAGAGCGGATTCATCGCAAGAGAGATTCTTGACTTGTTGTCAGCGTAAATCGTGGTCGGTTCTTCTTGTGCCACTTTTAACTCGTTCAAAATATTCTTTAACAATATTGCTTGGCAAGTGCACGCTGCTGCAGTTATATATTCGACTTCACATGTCGAGAGCGCTACCGTTGTTTCTTATTTGATGACCATGAAAATGTTGTAGAGTTGATATGAAATAGATATCCAAAAGTACTCTTTCGATCATCTAAGTCTCCCCCATAATCACTATCAGAATAAAAATCCAACTTCGAATTTTCTGAATGTGTGTAAAATAAACCATGATCAATTGTGCTTTTGACATATTAAAATTCTCTTAGTTGCAATCCAATGATCTTGTTTCAGATCTCCATGAATCTACTTACCATTCCCACAACATATGTAATATTTGGTCGTGTGATAGTCAGATACCTTAAACTTGCAATAAGACTTCTAAACAAGGTTGGATTCATCGAATCCCTTATTGAATTTACACTTAATTTCATGCTTGGTTCTGCAAGAGTGAATATTGACTTGCAATATTCAATTCTGACTATGCTCAAAATGTGCTCAGTTTATTTTTTTTTTTGTGAAATAAATATTTCATCTTGCATTTGCTTAATTTCGACTCCAAGGAAGTATGACATTTCATCAATATATGTCATTTTAAATTCTTTAGTCATAACTTTCTTGAAATCATTAAACATACATGGATTGTTACCAGTGAAAATCATGTCGTCCACATATAAGCACACGATCATGATATCATCATCTTCATTTTTCTTCGTATATAAGGCATGTTTGTATGGACTCTTCATAAACCCATTTCTCTAGAAGTATTTGTCTATTCTCGTGTTCCACTCTCTTGGAATTTGCTTTAATCCGTACAAGGCTTTCTTAAATCGATAAACTTTATCTTTATGCCATTTTTTAGAGTATCCAAGTGATTGCTTTTAACTATTGCTGTCTATAATCAGTGAAAGAATATTACAATTTCTGGTCACTTTCAATCTTCATGCACTTGACTTCTCCTGACTCGATGTCGATGGTAAAGAGACAATCTCGTGTCATGTTGACTTCGACAACTAATGCTCATTTATTTTTGATGGCAAGTATCATTTTTCTGAAAGCTGACCAAGGCTGATGATGTTGTTTTCCAAATGTGGTATATAATACACATCTGCATAAATAATATATAAAATCTAAAAGCTTAATATTTTTGAATTTTCAAATAATCAAAAAGCTTAATAGTTTTGTCAGGTCAATGATCACACTTTATAATAAATGATAAAAATAAAAATAATATTAAATGTGATTTAAAAATAAATAAATAAATAGATAATCAAACATGTAATTTATCTAAAAAATATATTAGATGCCATTTGTATAGCACAAATTACCGAATGACAATATTAAAAAGAATTTGAAATTATTTACTTATAAAAAGGATTAATTTAATAAACACAATAAATGTTCACTTCCCGCTTAGTTTTAAGATACTGTTTCCCCTAACTTCAAAAATCCCACAAAGAAAAAAACCTCACCTTTCCACGTTAACAATCCAATTGAAATCGGCGCCAACAAAACTCACTTTGGCGATCCGCGTGAAACCAGATCAACCAATCAAAATGCGCTGTCTCCCTTCTATATTAATCCCTAAGCCCTGAGACAAATCCCGCCACCTCCCTACAAAGCATACTGCTCTCTCGTTCTAGTTTCTCTTCGTAGAAGATTCTAAAATCTGCAATCATGAGCTCTGCAGCCATATCATCCAAGGGAGGCCGAGTCCGAGGCAAGTCAGTTTCCAAAGCCGTTTCTAGGTCCAGTAAAGCTGGTCTCCAGTTCCCCGTCGGCCGCATCGCTCGTTTCCTCAAGAAAGGACGCTACGCCGAGCGCGTTGGATCTGGCTCCCCCGTTTATCTTTCGGCTGTTCTCGAATATCTCGCCGCTGAGGTTGGTGAAATTGAGATTTCTTAATATTTTCCGTGAAATTTCTATAATTTTAGACGAGGGATTTAATTGACTGTGTAACCTTTCAGGTTTTGGAATTGGCTGGAAATGCTGCGAGAGACAACAAGAAGAATAGGATTATTCCAAGGCATATTCAATTGGCTGTGAGGAACGACGAAGAATTGAGCAGGCTGATGGGAGGTGTGACTATTGCAAATGGCGGTGTTTTGCCTAATATCAATCAGACTCTACTGCCAAAGAAGGTTGGGAAAGGAAAAGGCCAGATCGGCTCTATTTCTCAGGAATTTTAGGGAATTCTTTTTGGTTTTGTAGATAGCATGTACTGGAATTTGAGGTATGCACTTGCTAATGTATTTCAGAGTAATGAAATTTTAGAATTGCATCTTGTTCTAAATATTGGGTTATGTACTTGCATGGCTTCTATTATGCCAATGATTTACAAGCCATCATAATATATGGATCCCTAATCATCTGCAAAATCTAAAAACAGAATATCTCATGAATGTGTTTTCCATATGCTTTTCAATGAAGAACTGTCGCTTATCTTCACAACTTTCTGTTTCGGTTTTGTTTGCTTCCGTCTCTTTCTACTGCCATTTTCTTTAGCATGCTCATTTTCTTTTCCTATATCAACTTTCACAATGTGGTGATCCGAGGTCCCTTTCGAGCTCAATACCGAATATGAGCCCAGAACAAACTTATATGGCGAATCTGGGGATGCCAGAATGTAATCAACCCGAGTCCCATACTTGCATGTCCCCTGCACACCTGCAGCACACAAAAATCAAAAAGGGAATACGTTATTTATTTACTTTGTCCTTTGGCAATCACGACGACCAGCTCACATTCCCCTGCAAAGTCCTTGGCATCAGTGTATTGTTTAGTCTTCAGATACTTCATAACTTCAACCTTTGGTGTTGGTTTCCCCATTCCTCGTAGTACTGTTAAGATGCAAAGTTCATTTACGGAAATGTTAACTTTCAAAAGTGGGTGATAAAAGATGAGGTTGAGGGAATGCCCCACCCCCCATGGCCATAAATGTTACTTTAACAATATCTGTCAACCTCTCTGTAGAATAATCAGTTCCCTCCAAGGAATTGAGGCCTCCAGCTAAGATGTGTGGACCATCATTGGACTGAATTATTGCACTGATCTGCTTCATGCGCCAGTTCTCATCCAGATGGTCGAGGTGTGTGAAGTGGAATCCGATTTCGCCTGTCTGGGGCACATCAATGGTTGCCTTTAGCACATTCCTGTCGTCAATTATCAAACTGGACTTTCATGAACTCATTTCAGGGCAGACATAGTCAGGTATACGTCTTACGTAACTTTGATATATACTTTCAAATTCATGATTTCGTTTTCCACTGAAACAAACAAAAGCTAAAGTTGGAAATGTTTGTAGCACTGTATCTTTTATCTTTCCCACTTTTGAGTAATGCTAACAACCATCATTCACTATTTGATCTTTTGTAAGGATCCATCATTTTTCCACGAGAAAGAAAACAAAGCTTCAAACTGTGTGTTTGGTCAAATGCATTTTTCAACACTAGCTTCACCCACAAAGACTTAAAGATCTATACATTGCACCAGTTGCTCGTATTTACGTCATTTCGACTCTTTATTTTTCTCAAAATATCCGTGTCTAACACATTCGAACAGTATACGAAACTCAAGGCAAAGGAACATTCAGATACATATAAAAAATATTGAAATTTTTTAACTTGTTCGTATGCGACACTACTGAAGCACGAGCAGCAAAGGCTCATATTGAAGAAAGATTTAGTATTCCCCAAAAACTTCCAATCATGCAATGTTTAGAAGATAGCTATGAAGTTGAGAAAAGGTAACAATTTTGGGAAGGAAACAATGAGGTAGTTTTCTTATAATTTTGCAACTTTTTCTTTTGGATGCATTAGGGAAATTATAGACATATGTATATATTATGCATGATGGGAAGATCAGAAAATTTAGATTAATGAATTACACATTCAAGAAATGGGTGCAAGTTCTTATGCTGTCAACCGCGTACAGCTGTTATGACATATAATTGTTTGATACTTGAACCGGCAGAGTTCAAGGAACCATGTATAAACTAAAATTTGTGGGCCTTTTGGCCAAAAAAAAATTGATTTAGAATGTCAAACATGGATATACTCGAATTAGAGGTGTTTGAATATGTGTATGAACAAGATGAAGCATGGTTAATAAAATGTTAAAGACTCACCTGAAATCTGTGTCATCGAAGATTTTCTGCACTTTCCACCGCTTAATCGGCCACTTGGAGAGCACGGCGTTGCCGTACTCCGGCGCCCAACTCTCGGTAAACACGTAGTTCATCCCCAAAGCAATGGCTAAATCAGACAAAGGCATCATTGCTTTCTCTTCCTCTGCCTACACATCTTGCAGAGCTAATATATCAGCATCCAACTCTTTCAACACTTCAAACACTGTTTTACTACTTGTATAACTCCCACCACAACCATCAACCCAATTCCCCGAAAAACTCATCGTTGATCTCAGCCGAGTTGTTCCCATGCTCGAACAGCCCTCCTTTTCATGCTCCGAAAAGCTCAATTGTCGACTACGCAACAGTGAAATCTCGTTATCCGGTAAATTGATCGACACCCTTAGCTTCGATTTCACGAATTTTTGTTGCTTCGAGAGATTCCCCTTTTCCTTCATGGAAGGCCGGTGCAAGGGAGATTGCTTTAGTATGCTCTTCGGCCGATCAGATTTAGTGATACCTTCGTTTTCATAGTCGAAACTCGAAGATTTCCTTGCTCTAGGCATTGCAGGGGCCATAGAAAACATGGCAGCATTAAAAGTCGCCACACGAATAGGCTTCACGGAGTTTAGACTGCTCAATTCTCCGTCTTGGTGAGCTTTCGAAGGGCCGTTGACGATAGCATCGTCTATATTATCACGATGACGGTCGGTTTTTGGTTTAGCATACACTTTAATGACGATTTTGGACTTTAAACGGCACCGGAGCGGCCATCGGAGCGGCCATCGGAGGTGAGTAAAGAGGCGTTTGATTCTTTTGTTAAGGACTTTGAGCATAGTGGAGAAATGGGTGTTGTACAAAATAGGATCTAAAGCTCTTGATGATTGCATGAGAAACTTGAAAGCAAAAAAAGTTGCAGATGCAGAGCTATTTTTCAGAGTTGGAAATTCTGTTTAGGAGCAAGAACTGCAAAGGGTTGAATCAATTAAGATTCCAAAAACTAAATTTTCAAGTAGTTTACTGGATCAAAGGGTTATCAAAATGCAATCTTTTTTGGAGAATGAAAATTTTGTGGGGACTCAAGATAATGGAAAGAGCCAACAAGTCCAACTAATATGTACTTAATTATTGATATATTCAAAGTCTTTTAAGTGAGATTCTTATCCTGCTTGCAAAATCCCATGCAGTTTTTCAAGTGAAATGATAGATCAACACTAGCCAAGGCAAATGCTTTCTATACATAGTAATTTTTGTAATTTTATATATATTTTTTAAAAAAATTAATATATTTTTCTAAATTTTTTAAGTTTTGAATTAAACGTGATAAAAACACATATTACGAATGATTTGAGAAAAAGATCCCCTTTCATCTTCTTCTGAAAACACATATTCACATTTTCTTTATTGCAAGAATGAGATGGATCAAAAGAAGATGAAATGGGGAGACTCGTACATAAGCACTCACATCAATTAAATTATTGAATCAAGTATGAATAAAAACTCGAATTGAGTATTTTTTATTGTTTGAATTTGGATATGGATATAGTAGAAGACTTGATTGTGACAAGCAAATGTTGGCGATTAAGGATTCTTAAAAACGACAATGTCGAGAGAGATTACATGGTTCAATAGTGTGAGAAAAGCAGTTTGCAAGAGAAATGATTTTTGAAGGGGGGGAGAGAGAAAGAGAGAATGGTTAGGGTTTCTAAAGGCTAAGGTTTGAGTTTGAAGATATGAAATATCAAAATGATATTCTAGTAATAGTTAAAGAGCCAAAATAAATATTAATATCTTTATTAATATGCTACATCATTAATTTAATGGGTATTAATGGTTGAGTGATTATTTCATTACGAATCAATAATATTCGTGATAATAATGTAACTTTTCAAACTTCAGTGGTTAGAAAAGAATTTTATTTAAATATTTGTGACCATTAATATAGTTTACCCTTCGAATAAATCTCATGCTTTTACCTGAAGCTTTAAAATGTTGTATAGTTTAATCATTCAGTGAATTAATTATAATATATATAACATGATCTGTTTTAGTTCATTTATATAGATGTTAACTAACTTTTAATTCGATTATTATTATCATTATACAACATACAAGAGGATAAGGGTTTGAGTAAAGGGTGTAAATGAAACAAGCTTGAATGAATACGGTTATGTTCGTGTTCGTTTGTTTATTTTTTAATGTGTTCATGCTCAGTTTGTGTTCATTTAAATTTTTAGTATCATGTTCGTATTTATTTATTTATTTATTTTTGAAGATGTTTATGTTTGTTTATTTATTGTTCATGAACATGTTCGTATTCATTTATTTATTTTTGAAGGTATTCATGTTCGTTTATTTATTGTTCATGAACATGTTCGCTTAATGCTCATGAGCATGTTCGTTTATATGTTCACAAAAGTGTTCATTCATATATTCATGAACATTTTCATTTAGCGTTCACAAACATATTCATTTAGTGTTCAATTAATGTTTTTCTAGTGTTCGAGCGTTCGTTTATGTTTAAAATTATAGTTTAAATTTCAATTTTTATCATGTATTCAATTTAGTCACTACCATGACTCGTATTTAAAATGTAAAAAAAGGAAAGGGAATCTGGGTAAAAAAGCTTGTTCATGAACATAAATAAATGAGCTCATAAACAAGCTTGTTCATGAATATAAACGAATCGAACGCACCTCTGTTCGTGTCCGTTCGTTTATTAAATGAACATAAAAAATTTTGTTCATACTCGTTTATTTAGCTTAATAAACAATATAAACGAATGTTATACGAATAGTTTACCGAACACTCTAATCATTTATATTCCTAGTTTGAGTTGAGGATGGATCCCAAGGGAGAAGGCAAGGTTCTTGGCTTATTTTCTTAATCTTCTCTTACAAATTATAAATTCAGTTTAGTCCATTTAATTATAAATTTTTAAACTTGATCCCAACAATTTATATTTTTATTTCAACTCCCAACTAAAGATTCCTAACTTCACCTTTAATTAGAATCTTTCTACTTATAGACGAGTCTATATATATATAGTCCTCTAGGAATCCCCAAATTGAAACTAACATCCAATGATAGTTTAAGAAGAAAATGGTCATAAATGTCGCATCAAATATATACTAAAATTTTGTAAAA